CTGATGGATTGAGTTGGATATTAACAATTACAACACCAGAGCTCTTTTAGTCATATATCTCACTTAAAGCCATATTTCTCACCTAAAACCACAAAACAATTCTGGGTCAAGATTCCTACCCCTGATTGCAAACAATTAAGACCAAACTGTAAAAAAATTAAGATCAACCACAACAAAACAACAGACCTCCCCTTCCTGCCCAAAAACTTTCAAACACAAAAAAAGGCAAAACCCAACTAAAACCAAACCAAAGGACATCCCAAGAATTTAAGAAAGCTTAATTAACACTTTGGAGTATCAAATTTGAAGGTGTTACCTTCTGTAAGGATTTGTTATGTTCTGATTAGTCTATGGAGAAATAAGGTCTTTAATTATTGTTAGTGGTGATGTTCCATGCTGCATATATGTGAACATTATTTCCTCAAACTCTACCCTTCAAACCTACTTGAGATTTTAAATCTGTGCAGCTTGAATAACAGATCTTTGTTATAAGGTGCTATCAAAAGATTTATGCTTTAATACACTTCCAGACATTTTTCTTCTAAACTGTTCTCAATAACATTTTTGCAGTATATTTCCTGAGAGAATTAATTTTATTCCAAGGTGGGAGCACACAATGTGCCAGCTAACATCACAAGTAGAAAATTTTGCTTCAGCCAGCAATCTGAAATGAGGCAGTCTAAAGGTACATGGGGTTTGCACAGGGAAGAGTACAAAGTTGCCTTATGAGAGCTCTTTACTACTTTTTCATACAAATAAAGGTGGCTGTGGAGAAAAACATACGCTAGAAAAGCCAGTTTTCCTCCATGTCATGCATCAGTAAAGAAATTTTTGGAAACCAAACAAACCATAGACTCAGAGCATATTATGAGAGACACCTTTATAATGAGTGAGTAGCAGCTATACTCATTAGTGCTGTCTTCCTACCTTTGAAATTTATTCTTTGTTCCTCACAGCAGAGACAAGAGAGTTCATGAAATCTTCACCAGTCTACAAAAGCTTGCCCATTAAAGCCAACATGGAAATATTATGAAGAGAGGAACAGTTATCATAATGACAGATGGACTGTACATAATAGATAGCAATTACTTCTTCAAGGGTAATTAGAAAAGTTGTTGGAAAATAATCAGGCCCTTATTGGCCAACCAGGAAGATAGAAGACAGCTGTACAAATACCAATATTCATTATGAAGTGCAGCCAAAAATGAGAACTGGGGATGAACTGGGCATCCTGGAAAAAGATGTCTAAATGCATCATTACTTCCTGATGAAAGTACTCAAAGGTGGTCACAAGAGTATTTGGAAAAGGATAGTCAGAGAGAAACTGGCTGTTTCAGTGGCTGGCTATTGATGTGGATATGCCAAGGGGTCTTACTGGGTTTTTTCCTGGGCTCTTTCAATGTTTGTCCTAAGTACTAAGAATGATGAAATGGAGAGTAAGTTTGTTACATTGTCTGATGAGCTCAAGGTGCATGTAAATGCAAGACACTAAGACATTGGGACCAGAATTACAAAAAAAAAAAACCTGAGGCAATTACATGACAAGAAATATATGATACAGTTTTCTTGGAACAGTCCAATTTCACCCATAAAGCAGCACCTTATGTGCTTAACCATGGGGAAAAATGGATATTAAAGTAGATTTTAAAGATGTGAATCAACAGTGGTCTCCTATTACAAATAAGAAGACATGCAAATGAAAGTGCTGCCTGTCAGCATAGGGACATATTTTCAGATCACTCAGAAACTGAGATAGATGCTCTTGAGTGAAGGTTTTTGGGCAGTTTTGAGCACATTTGTTAATAAAGATGGAAAACAGCTGGGCATAGCAGAAGCCTAGGAAATATATCTGGAGAAGAGGGGGTTGTAAAGACAAGAGGAAAGAATTAACACCATAGAATTAACACCATAACTGTTCAAATATGTAGCAGGCAGTAGAATAGTGGAGAAGCATGTCCTGTTTCTCCTTCTTCACAATGAATAGGACATGAATGAAGTTAAACTATAGCAAGTAAGATTTACAGTAGCTGTTAGGAGAACAAAGAGTGATGGTTAAACAGCATAATATGCTTCCAGGCAAGACTGGGGGTCCTACATCAGCAGATTTTAAGAACAGGTTATCTCACTGAGAAGGGTTTATGTACAACTAATACAGCCTTGGGAGGTGACAGCTTGTATTTTCCTTGATTCTATCCTTCTTATGTGCACACACATACCATGCATCCTATGCATATTCATGTTCAAAAAACTAATTAACTTCATCAAATTTGATCAAACTAATTTGATCACAATTCTCCTCCGCTCTTTCAAATCTTCCTGTACCCTGCTCACTTTCCGTATCTCTTGGAACCTGTCGTGTTTTCAGCTTCATCTTCTTCATTTGCTACTCCCCTTTTCCTTCCTTAAAAACAGTAATTTTTCTTCTCTGAAAATGCCAGCTACCAGGAAATTGCACAAAAAATTAGAGGCTGATAATTTTTGACCACGAAGACTGAGGAGTAGGAACTTAGGCTGGATGCATTTGTCCCATTTGTTCTATTCTTCAAGTCGCATTTTTTAATGTTCAGTAATGTTTTTAAAAGTAATTTCCAACTGTGTATTCCTCTTCTTTCCTGTTCTTTAACAGTCAGAACAACTTCACTGCCCATCACTTCATGACAAGTCTGATCAGAGGCTGCTGCACCCCCACCTGGCAGCTCTCCTGCCAAACTAAACCCTTTTGGTTGCTCCACTTCTCTGTGCCTCTGCTGTAGCTTTGATCATCTTAGGCTCCTGCTACAGTCAAGAGAAACACAGAAGCATTTCTAGAGGACAAGTAAGCCTAGCTGTGGCTCAGATCTGCCCTCTGGAAATACCTCTCTCCCCTGACTACAGAGGGCTTAAATTGTGAACTTGCCTCTGGGAAGTACCATACCCTGAAGAAAAATACACCAAATTGCCCTCAGAAACCATTTTTTCTTTCAAGACAGAAAGTTTTCCCTTGAGGGCAGGGACAGCCTCATGATGCCAGTTAGTTGGCACAAGCTAGGTGCAACAGGGAGAAAGGAGACATTTAGATTTCTAGGAAACACCTAGCCATATTTACAGAGCTCCTACAAATAACATATATACTGAAAAGGATATAGCCCCCTAACGAAGGCCTTCTAATCAGAAATTTGTCCTCACAGGTGAAAAGGCCCTGATATGGGAACTTGAGAGCTGTTGACAGAGAACATTGCCAGGAAAATTGCAGAAACTAAATGGGACTACAAGGCTTTGAAGCCTGGAGCCCTGGAAAAAGCCCACAGCGATGCAAAATATTCGGTATTTTCTCACTAGAGAGCAAACACTTAATGAAATGGGAGTATTTGATAGCCCAATAGACAGATAAATAAGACAGGAAGTTATAGATTACACAGGTTTCTGGTGACATGATTAAACATGAGAGCACACCTCATCTGGATAAGGATATTACTAGAATCCCTTTGTTTATGTCTTTGTAATTTACAGTGTCTGCATTATAAAACAGGATTCTCAACAACACATACTACCAAGATTTTTTATTTTTTTTTTTAGCAGAGCTATATCAAACAAAAAATTGCAACTGTCATTTTTTTCTCTCTACAAGAAGATGATCCTTTAGTTATGTAGATTCTTTTTCCTTGATGATTGAGCTGAAAAGTTTAGCTTTTTGGATGAAAAACATATATGTAAAGCTAGAATTTCTCATTGTTTCCATGTTTCTGAATGACACTTTTCATACCCAAACAATAAATAATTCTTGGGGCTCTTTTTTTCTCTCAATTTGAAGGAAAACTGAAAGCACATTCAGCATATTTTAATTTCTCATGAAGCACCACATGTTCAATCTACACTGGTATGAAAATTTGCTGTCGATTTTTGACGTGCTATTGCGCTAGCATTTTTGGTGACTGCAAAATAAGCATGGTAGTGGGTTTTTATGACTATCATCTTTACTACTCTTAAGAGTAATTGTGGAAATAGGCTAATTTCAAATGACAGCAGCCCTAATTATCTGATTGTGTCAAAACTGCAATGTCTATGCAAACATATGACTATAAACAGTAAAGTTGAGGCAGGAATTATTCAGTTGAACAGGAGCTTTGAAGTTTTATTTAAAAATTCTCTTTGAAATCACCTATAAAAATGAAATCTAATTTTTGAGTCATAAAGTTTTCATGTCATCAATGAAAATTAGGTTGGCACAAAAAGACTTACAAATTAAACTATCAATAATTTTGACAGCTAGAAAAATGTAAGCTGATCTTTCTTCAAAAGAAATCTAAACCACTCTAATCTCCTCATCTTGTTTTAACTATTGTTTCTGATCTGGTCATCAATTTTCTTCTGAAGATGTTTGCCTTGATGAGTAATTTTTTTCATGACAAATAACATAAATAAATAAATTTTAGAGCCAAGCCCAAGTTCCAACATCTGGCAATGATTACATTTTATGTCCAGAAAAGAAAGCTCTCATGCCACTGAGCATGACAGATGACACATTGTCTTTTCAAATATAACTGTCCAGCAGAGGAGAATCTGCCCTGCTTTCCCCCACAGTTATGTGCTTGCTAGGGATAATTGGCTCCATGAACTGACAGCCTAGCAGCAGAGTTAATTTTTTTATTTTGTGTGTTTTTTCTTGTCATTTACAGCAGTTTTTTTCTACATCTAATTGCCCACAGAAATGGGCTTTCATCAGAAAACACCCCAGCATCCCAAATTTTTGAAATTAAAAACAAAAAAAATCCAGAAGAAAAAAATGCTTTACAACCCACATTATTATCCCTAAAGGATATTAAGAACTACTATACACCTAAAACTCAGATTTTCAAAGTGATAGTTGATGCCTACTGGCCATCACATCAGATTGTCTCACTTTATATCCAGCAGAGAACTCCTACTACCCAAAAACTGCTGTGAGTTCTTAGGAAGTTTTGTGTTGGCATTTTGATATACTGTGCTTTGAAAACTGAGTCTATGAAAGACAGAGACAAAGAGATAATTGAGTATTTTATTCACATGACACAAATATATAAACACACTTACTTATGTACCAAGATCCAAAAAAAGAAAGGTGGGCTGTTGATTTCATTTGAACAGAGATGGTTTTGTGCTCTCTGATGGCTCGAGCTAAAAATACAATGTTTACTCAAGAGCTAAAAATACAAGGTTTACACACTGTTTTCAACACTCAGGTTCATGGGTAATTTTTTTCTTGTTTTATGATCTGCGTTCATTCATGTATTTTGCAGCAGTTTTAATGCCAGTAATTACCTGGATCTTTGCATTTTGTAGCTGTCTTGTTCTTCCTGGGAACTGAAAAGAACATGGATATGATTAGAAATACTCATCTCTTACATGTCAGTAGATCCTCTTCAGCTGTAGCATTCTGCAAATGGGCAAACACAGAATTCATGAATTGTGTATTGATATAAATTATTGAAGTCACAAATGATTACAGTTGTATCATCCTATGCTGCAATATTAATAAATGGCATAGCAAGTGCAATGAGAATGTGCATTTCTCCAGCAAATTCTCTGCTAAGGCAAGGCCAATAAACTGTTCTTCCCTTTTCTATCTGTGTTTTTGTTGCTACTCTTTCCAAATTCTAATTAAGATGCATCATACCTGAACAGAACAGCTCTAAAGTGAAATGCATGGTTTGAAAACACCCACTTCAGGTCGCTCCTGTTTGAAGTGCTACCCAGGTTGTACTTTGTTGTCTTTCAGATACTCTTGGTGGTCACCAATCCCTGCCTGCTCTTTGCATTAACAAACACACGGACATGAACCTCACCACCCTTTGGAGAATCTTGGGAGACAGGCAAATGCCCAAATGGAATTTGCTGATGGTTGTTCCTCTAGGGCTGGATCTCCTGGCAATAGAAACAGTAGGCTAGCAGAAGAACAGTACTGTTGGAATTGTGCCACAGATAAGGTTGGCAAGTCCTTAATTGCCCACACTTGAAAACCCGGCCAAGTTCTTGTGGAGTTTGTGGAGTTGTGCTTTTATGTTATAGAGTCAGGACTATATATATATAATTTATTATTAATATATATTATAAATATATAATTATTTATTATTAAAGATAATTTATTTTTGCTATGCCCAGAGTAAATGGGAAGCTTAAAGCACATATGTGCCATGAGATGCTCATGCTGTATGTACAGCATGTATGTACAGGATGAGCGGGAGAGCATACTACAAACATTTTAGCTTCACAGTGTTTCTTTCGTAATTCATGCTGCCTGGGGACACTGGAAATGTCAAGATGCAATTGTTGAGTTGGCCAGTGGCTAGTGGAGTCCATGTGGCTACATGAGTTGTTCTCTGAAGTCCTACTAACCTCAGAAGAATGATGAAAATAGCTGAAAGTGAAGAAGAATAAATGAGATGTGTAAAAAAAATTAAAGGCAAAAGGGATGAAAATGTACTATAAAAATAATAATGACAAAACTAGAAAATTCACTCTCTACTGCTGTGTGTAGCTTGCATATGTGTGCGTTCATTCAAGGTAACTGATGCACACAAGTTAGTCCAAAGAACAACCCCCTTTGCCCCCCACAAACTCACACTGTGAACCAAGAGCAATGAGTCCAAGATGCTCAGCATCAACTCTTCTGTCCCACACATCTACTTGCTTTATACTGCATACACCTGTTGAAAATATAACTTCTGTTAACTTGAAAAAATAACTTTCGTTGAACTGACATTTTCTTGAAAACACCATTCTGTGGTGGCTTGCTCAATGCAAATAGAGTTTCCTTCCAGATAACAATTTGGATATAAAATACTTTTCCAGAATATGATATGTGTTTTTTCTATCCTATGTGGCGGGTCAAGATCAATCTTGTACTGTGGTTATAGCTCCTGTGACCATATCCTCTTTATAAATCCATTACCAGTTGGTTAATGGAGATTCAACTTTTGGTTTCCACATCTTTTAAATGCATTTTGTCTAAGAATTGAAGCCCTTCAAATCTGGCATGTGAAATTCTGCATCTGCATTCCCTTGTGTGTATCTGAGCACTGACAGATCTCCAGAAGAAGCATCACATGGTCCAGTTACTCGGGACCTTTAAAGTCAGACCAGAACTGCTGAGGAAAAGAGAAAGTAATCACACCACTTATCTTCAAACCCAGATTTAGATGCCCTCCATAGGCAATGGAGAAAAGTAGATATTCTCTAAAGACTAATTTTGTTCAACTAAATTAGGCTCCTTTTCTGAATTACCCTCCAGAGAAATATTTGCTTTCCACTGACAACAGAGGAAGTCCAGGGAAAGCAGCTGGCAATGTAAAATCAGCACAGTGATGTTGTGTGAGTGTCAGGGTTAAAGCCAGAACTATACACAGGACCACTGAAAAGTGACACATACATAGATGCCATCCTTTCCCTTTATTGCCCTCTGTCTATCATAATGTGTCTTTCTTTCCCTAAGCATCTCAAACCATCATACCTCTACTCATTTCATTTGAGAATCCCCCTCTTTTTCTCTCCTCCCCACCTCATCCTTTGTGTGATTGATGGGGGAGATTCACTGAAAGTCACTGTCTGACCACTTATCTCACCTTGCTCAAATTTGTTCAGCATGAAACTCTCAAGCACTAGCTCTTTCACTAAAAATAAGGATACAGCACAATGGTTACACTTCCAGCTGGAAAAAAATAGACTTCAAGCGTGTTTTTTACTCTCTGAAAAAAGCCCACCTTGAACTAAATTTATCAGCAAATCTGTAGTGAATTTTCTCAGTTGTTTTCATTGAAAAATCAAAGGGACAAAACAAAAGCCTCTAAATACTTTTCTACTAAAATGAACCTCTGATAATTTATTTAATGTGTGGCTTTTTTTGCTTTGCTGGAAAGCCTGAAAATTTGGCTTCACAGCCAGCCTGAAATAATTTGCACTGATGTGGTTCACAGGTCTAGCAAGTCACCAGTAAAAGACATTAATCAATTTTCCATTCAAAACTGAGGCAGATATATAATAGGGCTTACAAAAAAATCTGATTTATAAACAGTAAAATATAGACAAAATATCATAAACACCCACCTGGATGAATAATAATCATAGAGAACTCTCATGTTTTGATGTGTTAGAACCACAGTCTGTTAGATTCTAGTCTCAATACAAAAAGACAACTTTGCAGAGAAGTCAAAACTCAGATTTAATAACAGTCTCTCATGAAAAATGAAGTTAAGAATAATTTTGAAATTATTTCACTGCTTCTTTGCCATTAGAAGAAAGGGATGTCAAATATTACACAACAGAAGTGATAAAAATCCCAAGAGTTTAAGGGCAAATTATTTCAGTGTGCTTTGTAGTGAGGACATTCAGCCCCTCTAGTAAACTGGCAAGACTGGTTCAGCCTTTTGTTTTAAACTCTAAAAATAAATAAACAGCATAAATTGACCTGTGGAAAAGTTCATTTAATTGTATTTACAGCACTTGAGCATCCCCACTTGAAACCTACTGTAGAACTTAAGACACTGTTGACCCTTTCATCCTGCAGTCCAGGTGTGCCCACATCTACTTGTGGTTTTGCAGGGGCAAACTGCATGGTGAAATCAGAACAAAGACCCCAATGCTGAGCACAGAAATCTTACAGGAATTGGCATCCAAGAAATGCTACTTTCTTGAGTTCCTCTGGATATAGGTTATTACACAGCTCATTAAAATCTGTTTCTAATAGGAAGTTACAAGTGTAAATTCTGAACAGTAAAATATAGGTAAAATATGCATATAATTCTAGTTTCCTTGTGAAGTTTTTCAAAGTTGCTTCAGTACCAGATCTGGAAAATATCTGGTGATGTTCAATAAACTCCTTTAATTTTATCCTTCCTTACACAAAGTAAAATTTAGAACGAAATTCATTCTACATTTCTGCAGGGTTATAGCAGAGATAAATTTGGCCAATATGTATTCATTGCTCTGCTAAACACATTACAGTAGTTTTCTTGTGATATTGCAGGGAAGTGCCAAAAATAACTTGTTTTTCCAGTGTCCTCATCTACTTTTACAACAAATATAGTTGGTGAATGTAAATTAATGGTTATTACAGCATCTGCTCTGCATTTCACTTATTTTTATAGTGAAAGGCTGACTAGACTTTTTATTTTGATATTGCAATAGTAACACACCTGCTGGAGCCCGCTATATTGCTACTCTAGGGAAAGATGGTTAATTGCATTTTCTGTCTATTAAAAGTAGAGGGATTTAGATTTAGTATTGTTTTCCATAAGGTTTTTTAAACATCTTGTCAAAGCTTTCCAAAGAAGTAACTCAGTCCTTCTTACTGCCCACCAAGAAAAGCTCTGCCACAACAAACTTATTGGAGAATAAGTACCATCTAATTAACATATTTTCTATGTAGAATAATAAACATTCCAACAATTACTGTTAAAACAATAGCATTAGTTATAACTTTCCTACATGTACTAAAATGACACTTCAGCGGAGGACTAGAGCAGTGAACAAGGCAGTGTGAACTGTAAGACTTAAATCTAGCTCACCAACTAGAAGGCAATTTTACAGAGATAAAACTGCAGGCTGTAACTACTGGCAAAATCAGAGGAAGGGTCCATTTTTCTTCATTTTAGCAAAGAATAAAAAAAAAATTAGAGGCCAAAAAGTTAAACTTACTGTTCTTTTATGAGTAGAATTTTTTTGCACGTACTCACTATAAGAGCAGGTACTAAGAATGTTGTTGACTTGCTGGTGTGTGAGTGGCTAGTGGGTTGGCAAGGGAGAACACTATTAGTTAGAATTGACAGGTGATCTAAAAGAAAAGGATCAGGTATTTTTCCCTCCTACAGTGGAAGAGACTGGGGAAAAAACCCCAAAAAACCAAACCAAATAATCAGAAGAAAGAAAGGCAAAAGGGAAGATAATAGAGTTGAAGTTTTAGTCTTTGTTTACCTTAGCAGTAGGCAATTTCTGTAGATGACACCGAAGGATCTGGTTAATGTGCCTTTTAGCAACCACCCTAAAGAATAAGAAACAGGTGTTGATGACATGAGAGTCCTGGAGGGACTATGGAAAATGAAAAGCAGCAGTGATCAGGTGCCCACACTAGGAACAGCTGCTTGATGAGTACCATAAAAAAAAACCAAAACCAAAACCAAACCAAACCACAAAAAAAAAACCCAAACCCAAACTAAACAAAAAATAAACCAACCAAGAAAACTCCCCAACCTGGAGTAGGGGGAAGACTGAGAAAAAAAAAAGAGCAAAATAAAGTCAAAATATGGAAATAAGGAGAAAAAAACAGACAGCTTTTATTACAATTATCAGTGAAGACATTACAAAACTCACAGTACTAACTGTAACAGCTTTTCACCATTTTCCCAGGTTCCTGGGACTCCCTCTTCTTGCACAGACTGCAGCAGTGGGTCCCTGTTCCAGCACGCCTCCTACCACCCGGTGTGAATTGGGAGTCTTATTTTACTGCCTCCACCTAGACAAGAGGAGAGGTGTTTATGTTCCTTGTGTAGGAGACTGTTTTGAAATCCAAATTGAACTGCATAAAATTGACTTCTGTACAGTTTGAGGCAAGTGTTTCCTTCTACTCAAGCAATTGCATCGTGTAATCTATCTCAAAGTAACAGACCCACCAAGCATCTTGGGTACTTTGGACTAAATCGTGGGGAATAAAAATAACCAAACACAAGCACATTACAATCTTCTTCAGCATCTGAAGCATGCAATTTGCATTTCAGTATATCTTTTAATGGCTGTGTCCTGTAGTGTTTACCTGTATAATGTGTTGTTTGCATTTATTCCTCTTATTGTTAATGCTAGCATGAGACATAATTCATTTTGTCAAAGTGTATGGAATTACATGGCTATAAAGAGAAAGTAAATAGAGATGAAGAATTGAGTAAGAAAGTTTTGGTTTTTTTCACAGTGAAACTAATATAAAACTAGCTTAGGTCCATTCATATTCATATTCAGGCACAATTCCCTCTTTAAATAAACCCACTCCAGAAGCAAGCCTATATCTTAAACTGTAAGTATTTCAGGTTGGCACTGTGGTATTTGTACAGTACCAGAATAATATAACTGCTGTTCTGAAGCACTGCCGTGGTAGGGATGAATCCTTTGAGTAAAAATAGTGAACTAGAAAGAAGAATAAACTGCATATGGATGAGAGGGAAAGAAGAAAAAGTAATGAGCATACAAGTCAGGCAACTAACAAGAAGGTTGAGGGCTCTTCAGGGATAGGAATGGTAAATGGCATCTTACTGTTTGTCTATAATATCTTAGTGTAATACAAAGGCAAGTGCAAGATCTCTTAAGAGGCCTGAGGGTGTTACAGTAATGCAAATAAGAACAGCTTCTAGTTCAAGGCTCTAACCATTAATGATGATTTTTTTTGGTAAATAAGCCTCTAACAGTAGGTGTTATACTAAAATAGCTGCCCCACAAAATTGCAATAAAAAAAAATAAAAAAGCTTTATCAGCAGAGGTGAAGACATTTTCAGATGCTTATAGTAGAATTGGATTATAAAACACAGAGTAAAGAAATATGAAAGGAAAAAATCCAGATTGATTCTTCCTGAAAGGCAGCCTACTGTGTTATAAAATATCTGAGCCATGACCAAAATAAGACACAATGAATGTTTGGTGACAAGGCATTTTGCATAATAAAACAGTAATCACCAGGAACTATTTTACAAAGGCTTCTTCTTCACCAGTCCTGGGTAGCCAACTTGTTTTATCAATGCTGAATGCTTTGGGCTCTTTTACAGGGCCACCAGCATGTTCCTGAGATCACTGTCCAAAGCAAAACCAGCAGTTTCAGAGAAACAATCTCCAAGGACAATGACCATTTGCTTATTGAGGTGATGAAGATGAATTAAAACATCTTCTCAAATGCTGTAGTTCAAAGAAAGTTGATCTACTGAGAAGTAACCGTGGAAATTGCAGTTGGAAAAGAATATGTGATGCTACAAAAGAGGCTAAGATACAGGAGTTGGAAATGAATGCAGTGTTCTGGCTCTCCTGGGGACTTCCAGCTACTGCTTTGTTTTGTTTCTATTCAGACATCTGTTAAATGGCTATAATTTTTCTTACATATTTCACAGTAATGTTTAATTACTTGCTTAAAAAGTGACCACGGATTGTAAGGTGCATTGTGCTAGAAAAGCACATTCTGTAACTGAAAACTTAGTCTATGGCTCTCCTGAGTTATTTTCTATCCAGGACTTGCATTTCATTTACAAAAAGCTGTATTTTTATGAGCAGTACCTGGAAGATGGAAAACATTTTGGTGTTTTAAGAAAATTAAGATTTCTGCTCTGTTAAGCTACATGGGAGCTGTAGCTTATCAGGAATATTCCATCCATGAAGAATTGCACTGAATCACCAAGAGGTGACACCTCATAGGAGATCCATTGGACTGGACTGGAAGTTTGTTTCAAAGGAAAGGCAGACCTTGGGGAGCATCTACTTAAATTTCCAGAAAAAATGTTTGGGGTGGTGGAACCTTGTTCCTTCAAGGTAAAAAAGCAAGATCTTATGCAGCACAGACCACACATATTAACAAACCAGTTTTTGCTGTGCATGTGCTACATGTCAAATATATATATGTATATATGGGCAATTGTGACAGAAAAACAAAACAATTCAGACAGTTACTTACATTAGATATAACAATGATTAATACATCATGGAAGGAATAACTATGTCAGCATATTTCTGCTGCTGAACTTCAGACTGGCAGTCTTGTACCTTAGAGTGGTGTCTTTGAAATAACTACCTCTGCAAGCTCCAGCAGGATTTATCCTTCTAGAGACATAATCCTTATTTTAGGAAGTAAGAAATTATCAGTTACAAAAGAGAAGTCTAATTGGTTCAACTGGGAAAGCAGTTAACAACTTTTCTCTGGTACACCAGGAACACAGTAATAATTGAAATTTTGCTAAAGTCAAGTTCTACTTTGTTTTCAGAAGTAGCTGAGCTGTGGTAGCCCTTTCTCCATCTACCTTGACTGAGTGTGATGTAACATATGGCAAACAAACAGGAATGGATTTACCCTGCTTTTAGTTTCATTCAGCTTCTCTTTTCCCACTGCCCCTCCTGGGACATGCAGCTGAGAAGCTTAATTTTCCTAAATCCCACTTTCTGACAATATCAACACTTCAGTCTTAAACTTTATGTGCCCCAAAAGTGATGTGATGTTCAGACTTCTCAAGCACTCAGGAATCCTACTGATTTTAAACAAACTGAGCAAAGAAAAGCAACAAATAAAAATCAGTCTACTTGTTTAGTGCTTGGTTAATTCTTTAAATACGTATCTGCGGACCACCAGATTGGGCTGTTTGGCCTAAATAGCTTAAGACACGCTAAGATGAGCAGTTAAACTACCAAGGAGGCAGCTAAACTACAGCATACACCAGAAAAAAAAACCCTAACCATATGCTCAGGGTGCTTTGCTGGGGAAAGAGAGAGGCTCTGTTGTGCAGGCTGAGGCTGTGATCAAACGTAGTACACCTGAAGTGTTTCTCCATACCAAAGTTTAATCAGGGGATCCCAATACAGCCTGAGCCCATTAACTCCAGAAAAGCATGAAGTGTGAAGATACTGCTGCAAAAAGAGGTGATTGCTGTTTTGAAATGCATAAACAGTAGCATTACCCAGTGAGGAATCAAGGGAGCAATAGAAGTGCTATTTTACATCAACTCTGCGAGGCCAGCTCTGCATTTGTACACACCACTCTGGTGCTGCCATTACCTCTGTTTCTGTTATGCCAAGATTTATTTTGTAAGTCAAGTTGGTGCTGGTGGAAAAGGACTGGCTTTGACCCAAAATATGAAATAAATCAGAAAGAAACCAATGAGAGCAACTAAAGCGATAAAAGACTGAAGAAATATGTTCAGTGCAGACTGCTAGGAGAACCATGTGTGCATTGTGTAGAGACAGCAATTTGATAGCATGAATGTACCTGGAAAAGATTAATTGTGAGTGCAGTTTATTCTCAGCGATGAACATGGATATGAGGAAAGAAAAACTTCAACTGGTTTCTCAATATCAGAGAGAGTAAATCCCTGTTTTCTATAGATTCATGGATAACCGTTTATGTGGACACACTGTTAGTACAAGATCACATAATTATCTCATTTCTCCTCCTCAGTCTCCTCTCACCACAAAGTTTGAAGGGACTTTGTATTTATAATAGTCTACCCATCCAAAAAAGTGCATCTGAAATTAGAAAATATTTTAAAAACTCTAGATGTAAAGTGAAAAATTACAAGGAATCAGCTTACTAAACACAATATCAACAGTAAAAGTATATTAATGAATAGCAGATTTTTTTCAGTGATAAACCAGTCCTTTATTAACTAGCGAAATTATGTCAAGGGAGGAAATGAATAATGGATTCTAGCATCCTCTATGTCATCCTTGTATTATTACAGGAGGAATACCTAAGAACAGAAGTCAAATGGTCCTGTCAACTCTGTTTACTTCTAACTCTAGATCTCTGATGCTTGGCAAGACACTTTTTGAGGATAGTAAATTTTGAAGGACCGCAACCTTGAAATTGCAAGGCCTGAGCTGTTCACAGCATCTAACTTTGAAAGGGGAAGTGCAAAACATAAAGGCATACTGACTGAATTTTGAAAATATATTGGTGGCATAAAGCACAGGGTCTTAATGTCACCATGTATCAAAAGCCACCAAGCAAGACTTAAAAAAGTCAAAGGACAACAGTTCTTTTTCTTTTTGAGAAAACAGTTTTGTAACGCCAGCCACTTTATAGAAGTACATTGAAGAAATACATCTGTTGTCAGTGACATTTTCCATGGGAAATAGTCATAAATAGATATTTCAACTTCAATAGGAAAGCCCTTTTTTTGGATGTTTTATCTTATTATATGAGGTCCAGAATAACAGGTCCACCCATTTTTAAAATCAAGGAAGTTATCAATGCAGTGGCTTAAGCAATACCTAAAAATGCAGTAACTTTATAATGAAACTGAAATGCATACCAGTCTCCATGTAGATAAACAATTGCATTCAGGAAGTTACTCCTGATATATATTTATTGCTTAGCCATATATACAGACAACACCAAGCTGATTTGCTGGAGGGCAGGAAGTCTCTACAGAAGGATCTGGACAGGCTTGATCAATGGGCTGAAGGCAATGGTATGAGGTTCAACAAGGTGAATTTCCAGATCCTGCACTTGGATCACAACAACCCCAGGCAGCAGGACAAGCTGGGGGAAGAGTGTTTGCTGGGAAACTGCCCAGCAGGAAAGAACCTGGGGCTGCTGGTTAACAGCGACTCAACATGAGCCAGTGTGTGCCCAGGTGGCCAAGAAAGCCAAGGGCATTCTGGCCTGTAACAGCAATAGTGTGGCCAGCAGGAGCAGGGAAGTGATCATTCCACTGTACTTGGCACTGGTGAGGCCACAACTTTAGTTTCTCAAGTTCTGGGCCTCTCACTACAGGAAAGACATTGAGGTGCTAGAGTGCATCCAGAGAAGGGCAACAGAGCTTGTGAAGGGTTTGGAACATAAGTCCTCAGACAAGAGGCTGAAGATGGGAGCTGGGAATTCCCAGTAGCTGGGGCTGTTTAGCCTGGACAGAAGGAGGCTCAGGGGAGATCTTATATCTCTTTACAACTGCCTGAACGGATGCTGTAGGAAGCTGGGGCTTGGT